AGGAGAGAAGAAGCCATTATGGTGTGGCAATTAGGCTAGTTTAACATAAGCCTCTAATCTTAGACTTCAGATTAGTGTGGTGGGTTGCACTTGAGCACCTTTAAGGTAGCCAGGTAATGTCAGGTTTGCAAATTAAGAGTAAACGGGTATTGTATATTGATAATACTTAGGATCTTAATAAAACACTGGCGAAACTGCCTAAGTTTAAAAAAAAAAAAAATTTTTAGTGATTAAAAAAAAAAAGAGACCTGTATAGAGACTTTTCAGTAAAAACCTATACTTCGCATTTTTCTTATTTTAATAAAATTTCTTTTCGTGAAGCAAACAAAGCTATAGTATTGAATCTTGCAAGATGCCTTATTACGTTGAAGTTTTTGTACCTAATAAGGGACTTTTATGGCTCACTACGAACGAATTTCAGGACTTCACGCATTCGGTAATCTATTTTTTTTCTTTTTATACTTTTGCTACTTCATGAAATATACCGGTCTTATTCACGAACTCTATTGTTTAATTAAATAATGCTGAGATGCTTTATGTAAGATTAAATAATATCCAGATTGTCTTATATAATATTGACGCCTTTATACGATCTAAACTCGCTGAGAAGGTATAAGATCTTCTTCAAGCAAAACTGAATCTTGGTGAAAAATGGAATACGAGCTTATACTTAGGTGCTGCTGTATGAAGAACCATGGTCTATATAAAGAGTATTTTATTAATATAGATTATTATGAAGGTATATATTAGACTAATAAATGCAAGCAATACCCAAGTTTTAGTAGGACCGGGAAATCTTTGTTATAGGTTCCCGGCATAAAAAATTTTGTGAATCAGGCTTTTTTTTTATAATTAAGCAAATCAGTTTGCCATCACCTTAAAAAATTAATAATAAGCGAATCATTTTTAGTCAGGTTTAGTCGAACATCTTGGTATATAATATGTAATTTACTTCAACCATCTGAAATTTTATAAGAAATCGAATCAACTAATAGTGATAACTTCTTTATATCCTATATATGCAAATCTAATCCAGTGCAGTGACCTTTTTTTCTGCGAATTATATAAAGTTGAGGACTTCACAAGACTTATAATAATTTGAATCTATGATAAGTTAGTCACATTTTTCATAATTATAGTAGTATTCGAATATAGTTGTGGCAGAGACCTATTATAGAGATTTCCCGGTCCTGTTTTAGCCCGGGCATATGTTTGGACGATACTTTATATAGCGGCAATAATTTGATTTATTTTATTTATTTATTTTATTTGAAAGCTCATTACTTATTAAGTTTATTATATGCACTTAACAGATTATTATCCATTTTAATAGAGATTACGGAATAGGTATACTTCTTGCAAGTTCTTTTAATTGTGTAAGTAGGATTAAATCAAATCGATATAATTTTCTTATTATTATTAATTATTATTTTTTTTTTTACTTTAAAGCGAATAATTATAATCATAATCATTATTATAATTATTTTTATCCTTATCTTTGCTATTATCATCATTATCATTTTAATTGTAATTTTTATTATTATTAAATGTTAATAAATGCTATCATCTCCTCTATAGGAAAGGAACTAGTTTAAAAATAAGTGTTTTAAATATTGTATGTCGGGTTCTCTAATTTGATTGGCAAGAGCAATAACCACAAGCCTTGTTGCACTTGAGGTCTGGATAAATTCTCGCTCATTTTCGGTTGAATCACAAATCACTTTAAGTACACCATATTTCCATGCGCTATTAATTCTATCGAACCAACATGCATGATATATAGTTACAAATCCCTTTCCCTTCATTGATATTTTTGAACTCATTATAATCAATTCATAGTAATTTAAACCTCTCATCATCTTAAATTCAGGATTGATATGATCTGGTGATTTATTAGTTTCAGAAGATTTATATATTTTCTAAATCATAATTTGCATTCTGAATATCTCTCTTTGTATCGATACTGTTTAGATAAAATCAGACTATATTATACATGCTACATTATTACCGTATATTAACAGATCTTTGATAGTATTCAAATACTTTATTATAATCTTGATCGACCCCCTCTCCATATTCATAATGCATACCAACACTACACACACAACCGAAATCAGCAGATCTCTTATACTATTCGGATAATTTATCTTTACTCCCAATTCATAATAACAACAAAGACCAACATCATTCATAATATCCGGATCTCCTAACTTAGCTACTTTTATCTAATATCTAAAAGCCTGCTTTGCACCTTCTCAACACCAATATCGAATTTATAGTTGTAACTACAGTCGCACTCCCATATAATCATACTATCAGAATCTAAAAAAAGGGTTTTTATATGGAAAATGTGCAAATATAAAGAGTAATTGTTATATATTTAGTAATAGTTAGTTCAAAAAATAAATGTGCTTATAAAGATGATGTGCTTATATAGGAGGTGCTTATATGGGAGTACAACTGTATATCATGGTCTCCATTGCATTTATTGCCCATGCCTGTAATACATATGGTAACTTTAAGATCTATATTCCTAATTTCTCGTGGTAATTTGGCAGAGAAAGGATAAAAATATCAAGAATAAAACCTGGTTATTTTTTATAAAAGAGAAATAAAGGTGAGCAATACGATTCTTGAATATTAATTGCTATTTATGTAGACCCGTGCAATATACCCTGTAATAATTTGACAGCCAACTTTTGACTTATATACTGATACCTAAGTATGATACTACATAATAAAATATATTTATATCTATACAATACATGTGTACCCAGGGTACTAAAATGAACTAGAGAAATACACATATGTTGGGTAAATACGGTATTAATAAATTTTGCATTTTTCAATATATATATGTTTAGAGTCTAAGAAAAAAAAAAAAAAGAATAAAAAAAATACATTAAATAAATACAAACTTTAATTGCCTGGAGCATAGCCGAAAAACATTTAATGTTTAGTCAAAGTAGCACTATTAGTTCATAGTATAGAATTGACTAAAACAAGATTCTAATAATGGAAATTTAATAAACTATACTATTAATAGACAGTTAAAAAAATAAAGTATATCACGAGATGTCAAAAAAAATAAAGTGTGTTATGATATACTTGCATGCCTATCGAACAATTGTAATCAACAGGAGTTGGTATTACGATATGCTTGCATGCCTATTGGACAATTGTAAAGAACAGAAGTTGGTTGTATAATTGTTTATTGATAACAATTACCTAAGTTTTACGTAAATCAGGAATCGATCATTGTTCTAAACTAATCGGGATTTCAGGTTTTCATATTAAAAAAATATTTTTTAAAAATCTTGCTATTCTCAACCATTTCGAAAACAGCTATAAATGCAACATAAAACAAGATTTAGCAGGCTATAATCAATTTATTTTACTCTTCAACAATGTGATAAAAATCTATTTATCACTAATTTTTTTGCTTTCTTGTTATTAACCTGTTGCTTCTGCTATTCTTTTCTTAACTTTGCATTTTCGATTTTCTTTTGCTTAATGTTTTCTCAGTCTTCTAATTCTCTTACAATTGATTCTGCAGTCACAAGTATTCCAAACTTGAAGGCCTTGGGTCTGACTTGAGGTTTTTTTCCCACTGATAATTGCTTTGGATAGAGATACTTCATAATTGAAGATAAAAACACAGTTCTAGGATTTTCTAATCTTTAAATGTATTCGCATAAATCTTTATTTTCATTTTCAAGCTAAGTCAACTTGCTAATTCTTGTATTATGCATATGAGTTATTTCTTGGCTTGAAATAACAAGTTGATAAGTTGATAGTGAAGGCATTAAGCATTCAGGTTTAATTGTATTAGGATTCAGAGGCCAAATACCAGTTGTAGCAAATGCATGTCGAATTGTATTTGGAGTATATGTTTCATGAAATGCTTCACCAAAAACTTGTGCAAATGAGTATTTTGTAATTACTTCATATTTATTATTAGAATGTTAACAATTTGATGCCTTATCATACTCAGACTTAAGTTTTTTAAAAAGAATTTCTGATGGCTGAATAATATGGGTAGTATTAGAAGGTAAAACATAAAGAAGAATATTGTTATTATTACAGAATTTGATGCTAGTTAAATCGATATGACTAGTAGCCCTATCAAGCATAAGCAAGACAGGTCTTGTAGAAGGAATTGAGTTGTTAAAATGCTCTATATACATTCTAAAAATATCTTCATGCATGTAACTAGTATCAGTAAATGCAGCAACAGTACCAGGTAGAACTGATACACCATCCAATAAACCTTCAATTATATTAACATCTTTATAGACTAGTAATGGCAGAATATATATTCCAGATGTGAAAATAGTAGGACAAACAGATATGTGCTCTTTTGAACTTCCAGCTGCAGTTTTATGAACTTGTCAAATATCTTTTTGAGCCAATACTTTTTGTAACCAAGACAAGATATTAAAACCACTTTCGTCCATATTTCAAATTCTGTCAGCCACTAATGAATACTCATCAATTATTTGTTGAAGTTTTGTAAAATAATTCTGAATAACAACTGGGTTACCTTTAGCAGCACGTGCTTTAGAAAGTTCTTGAGGAACCTGAAAAAAAGCTATAGATAATCATGCATAAATTGTTTCCACCATTTTTCACCAAGGCCATTTTTAAATAAATGTTCTTTGTTTTTAATTTTAAGCATTTGTATAACTATGGTATTTATAGCTGCTCTAGTAAGTCTAAACCCAAGATTTTGCATGTTCAGACAGTATCCAACTAATTTATTTTTTTCTTTAGCCATGAGTATTGTAGGGGAATCTGGACATTTGGGTGCACCACCTCGAGCTATAGCATTATGCAGTGTTTGTTTAGCGATATCAAATTTTAAAGCAACCTTATAAACACTTAAAGGCATACTTGTACTATTTTTTTGGGTTCAAGAAAGTTTAATGCTGCCTGAATAGAGGCTTGATGAGATTCTATATTTTGTTTTGAGGATAATAATCGATTTACATTATATTATGCTACTGTGAAAGTACAGGTAAAAGAAAAATGTTATGAATGCAACTAAAATTTTTTTTCAAGAAGTTTAAATCACACATAATTAGGTACCGACTCATGACTCATAAAATTGTGATAGGCACAAATAAGGGGCAGATTTTTTTTTTGATATAAAGTTTTTTGTTTGACATATATAAATCAGCATAAAAAATGAAAAGCTTTTTGATTTTATAAAGCCCAAATAAAATATATTTTTCAGGCTTAATTTCTTTGGTGAGTATAATTCATTATTGTATATCATTAAAAGATTGATTTTTTTTTTTCTTATAAATCGCTAACTATTTAGTTTAGAATTCTATTAAATATGTAATGGTATCTATATATCTTGGTGCTAATAGAAGGTTTTAAAAAACAAATTTGCACAAAAAAAAACTACCATTTAACTGTTCTAATATATATATAAAAAAAGCCAAATATTTGTGTAACAAATATACAAATTTAAACTTTAAATACAGGAAACATATAATTCACAGAAATAGGATGATTCCCAGAAATAGGCAGGTATAACTTAGTATTTTACTATAATACTTTAGTATAGTATTTTAGTATAGTATTTTAGTTTTTTTTTTTTTTTTTTTTTGGTATTAAGGTGAGGCCTTGCTCATATCTTTATTAATTAATTTATATAAGTAGT